AGCAGAAAAGGTCAGATAAGTTGATGTTAGGGAAATGAACCCTAAGATATGTATTCAAATGTTTTCTTTCATGCGATTGTTTCTAACACATTTATAAGATTATTTCTTTGTTGCTTTGTATGTCCCTTCCCCAAAGTATAACCCCTGCTTTCACTGTATTTGATGTTGGTATAATTTGTGGAGTGGAAGGGAAAAAACAAATAGTTTAAATAGGGATACAGGTGGACCCATTGCAACAATGAGATGTACAAGTCGTTATGTAGAAAACAAACTTTATAACTTTGGTGGGGAGGGGGAAGAGGATTGGGTGGGGGGGCTGGAAGGAAGATGGGATGGGAAGGGGAAACAAAGGAGGAGGCTACAATGCTTGATAAGAAATGTACTCATTATCTTGTCCAGGTAATTGTAACTCCTCTGTACAGTATTTTCACACACACACACACACACACACACACACAATAATCATGAAATAGGGCCTGGATTCTCTCTGGCTACTTCCTGCTGACAAGGGGCGTCGACAATATGGGTAAAAGGCTGGAATTTGGTCCCCTCCCAGAGAAGGCAGTGAGCAGCAGCTGTCCCTTGGTGAAGTGAGTCCTTAGATGAGAAAGTCTCATGAGGAATTGAGGGGCTGGAAAAAAATACTAGAGAGCAAATAAATGGCAAGAGGAAGGACTTGGGGCTGAAAAATGTTGGTAGAAATGTCCCTATATGGTGACAAGGTAGAGGAGAAGTCAGCTAACAAAGACAAGAACGTAAATTCCTGTCCAGTTAAAAGGTAGACGGTATAGACATTAGATAGGCAGGCTTTGTACTTCTATTGACCTCCCGGCTCTGGTTAATTTTGAAAGAGTAGACACAAAGTGGCTGATGTGCTATCATCTCTTACTCCTCTCCATGGTCCCTTGTACCCCAGACTGGCTGAGTCTAGGTAGTCATTGCTGGGATGGCTTGTCCCAGTTGGTATTCATGGAGGTTTGAATTCAAGGCCTGAGCACTATCCCTGAGCATTTCTGCTCAAGGCTAGCACTGAACCACTTTGAGTTATAGTACCACTTGCAGTGCTTGCTGGTTAGAGTCTTGAGCCATGCTTCCAACCTGGCTCTTTGCAGGTGAGTTGGGAGATGGGAGTCTTAGGAATTTTTCAGCCTGGGCTGGCTTTGAACTGCAATCTTTGCCATGAAAACCCTTTATTATTTCCCATTAAAGCAACAAGGAGATTAAATAGAATAGAGCTTACCTGGTCCTTATCAAGAATTGACCAAGAAATATTCTGCAATGACAAAACTCGTTAGATGTGAGAATCTTAGCACAGACGTGCCCAGTATTTTAGAATCATGTAGTCAGTACTAGAATACACAACACAAAACAAAAAAAGGCAAAACTCAAAACCTAAAATTTTTGACAACAATGTGTAGACATCTTTGCTAACAAAGCACATCAGTTGGTTGGGCACCAGTTACCAGGGCCTGTGAAAAGAGCAACTTGTTAGCAAGGCACCTTAGAACAGATGGATGGAGTAGTAAGCTTAGTGGAAGGTTAAGAGTCAGATGAGACCCAATCCTTAACCCACCATGTGGCGCCAAGATGGTGAACTCAAGATGGTGAAAAAATGCAAAGAAAACCTAAACAAATGGCAACTCTGACAATTTTCAAACCTAGAATGGCTAGCCTTTGAGAGGGTTCCCTCTAGGGTCCCTCTCAAAGGGACTCTAGATGCGGGTCCCTGGGACCCAGCCTGCATCGCACTCTTCAGTACATAATCCAAAATGTTGTAGAAAAAAAGAAAGGGAGAGATAGGGAAAGTTGGACATGAATGGCAGAGAGAGAGCAAAGAGAGCCTGAAAGTAAACAGACTTCTGACCATTTACCATTGCAGTAGCAAAAACTGTCTACATCCGAGAATGGCATAAAAATGAGATGCTCTGGGTTTCCAGGGAGTGCAGGAGGCATTTCAAAGGGCTTTCATGGCTCGGGCATGACTCACAGCACCCTATTAAATATGTAGGCGAGTCAGTCTGGTGAGTGAAGGAGAGCTGACCATGCAGAAGTGGCATCCCGGGGCTGGGAAGGTGGCTCAGTGGTGGAGTGCTTGCCTTGCATGCATAAAGCCCTG